TAGTCATTGGACAAGATACTAGAGTTGATGGGCATCCGTTTCATTGTTAATGAAAACACCAACGATGACTGATTGATATCAGTTGATGAACTTAGCAGTGGATCAAAACCTATTGTTGCTCTTTTTTCAGAAATTTGTCTACCTGCAAGACCACCACCACTGCTGTCTTTTACTATCAGCTCCGCTTTAGCACTATCATCTGATGATAGGTGGGCTACACGCTGATCAATTACACTGAAGGTCTCACAAGTATCCATAACTTCTGCAACTGCACCTGCATTCAATTCTACATCACGTTCAAGTTGTACAGAACCTTTGTTCAACTTAGCAGTAGTAGGCATTCCCCCCATCTCATCATGATCAACCAAAGACGAATGTGCACTATCGTGATCATTATCACCAATATTCACTTTACCGTCAACTTCATTATTTTCAAACTCTTTAATAACAGAAGTAGACAATTTTGGTTCCTCCTCACAAATCATTAAAGGTTTTACATCTTCACTCTGACTAGTTATACTTTGTAAACTTGTGGAGTCAGAACTGGACTCTGAAGCAGCAACTCTATTCTGTGACACTCTATTCAACAATGGCTTACCAGTTGCAACTACAGACTTCTTCACAACACCGTTATCGTCACACAATTCGGAGTCATGCCTGGAGTTTACATTTAGCTTATCACTGAACTTGCTTACCGGTTCACAGTTCACTTCTGTATGCACTTCTTGCACACGTGTAAAAGGCAACCGTGCTTGTCTTGCATCTTGTAACTTATCTGTTGAGGATGTACTACGAAAGCTGTTACACTCACTAGGTCTATATGCATTACTATACATCATGGAGTCTTCTCGATATCCACCTCTCTGAGGCCTACTCGTCATCAATGTTTGCATTTTGATCTCAGACTGCTCTGTTCTAGGTGTGAGATCTAATAGACTGGCGAACTTGCTCATAGATTCATTGACACTAGTATTTACCAGTTTCAGGATATCATCAAACTTTGGCTCGATACCCTCATCCTCCATACGGGAGCTTATCTTCACCCACTTCCGTTGCAGTCGAGTAGGTAGACGTTTCGCTATTACTTCTAGGATAAAACTCGAGTTGAGGTCACTCATGCGATTCATCGAAATCATTCCATTCTTGTAAATTAGCAAATTATCTAAAAACTCAGTGAGTGCCTGGGAGTCATCCTGTAATTGACCACCATTACCCTTAACAGCCTCGAATAATTTCCCTACAATCATCGAAGGTCTTCCAAACCTTTGACGTAATATGCTCATAGCCTCATCGTAGCCCTCTTTTGGCTTCATAAACTTACAGTACTGTATAGCTCATGAAGCATCTCCAGTGCAATATCTCATCAAATACATTAACTTCAATTCATCATTTAATAAAATACCACTCAACATGATCTCAAACTCCTTTACAAATTGTAAATAATCAGCCGGGTTTCCATCAAAACATCGTGGTTCAAATTTAGGGAGTTTGATGTTCCTATTATGCCTGAACGGCGAAACAGTAACATCAACCATGTCATACTTAACATCAGACACATCGTTACAATTAACAGACAAGTCACCATGACTTACTTTCCTGTTTGCATCCAAGACACTCTGTCCCTTCTTTGACCCAAGCATTGTTGAACTTGACCCAATTCCAAAAACGTTCCAGATATTGCTTGTTCAAAGAGTACTTGACCGGCACCAGGAAAAATGAACGGCGACTATCCAAACTTTCACCAACTGTTTGAATCCGCCAGATCTGTTTCCATCGTCAGAAACTGTCAGCCAAGTCTCATAAACCGTTAATGCCCAGCTCTCGCTACGCTCGGGCCCACGCTGTTCTTAGAAGATTTCTCAGAAACGCTTAGTTATAACGGACGCAAAAACCAAAACACCGATCTGCCGCTTGATATTTCTGTATTGTTGCACCAACATATAAAAGGAATAAGCGAACTAAGCGAACTAAGGTCTGAAAACAAATATTACAATAATAAATCATTCTATTACTTCTGACGATGTTTCACTCTTCTTTCTGAACAGCGACCGATGAGACGATGACTGTCGTATTGATGCCACCGCGAAAATTGGGGAAGTTGATTTTGAGCAAACAACCAAGAATTGATCGTTCAGTCTTCAACTCCATTGACAGCCTGCGTTGTCCTGCAAAACTTTAAGTGGACCTGTCTGCCTCAGTTGATGAAGCAGCTCTTCCAAACAACCAATTTCTATTCTACTGCACCATATATTTTGATAGGACCTACGTTTATTTATCTTAGCCTGCATGTTTTTAATATCGTTATACAGGAGCGCTTTTCCGAACTTCTCATGTGCTGGATCCATGATTTCATGGACATCAGTATTGCTTTCAATGAACGGTTGGATATTTGCCATTTCTTGTGATGACAACCAACGTCTAGATACATCGGTGGACATGAAACTTGCTGTGCAGGGGTGGTTATGCTCAGTTTTGTACTTGGTTATCATGTATACGTTGGATTTCCGCTGGACTAAATTTATTGACTGGCATGATGTACTTTTGAACCTTAAAATTTTTTAAATTTACACACGCAGCCAACTTACCCTCTGTTCCTAAAGCCAGCACCTCGGGGAGCACGATGACTTCCAAAAGTGCATTTAAACTTCACAAACTTGTAGTCATCAGCACCGGATGGATCTTTTTTACTTGAATCAACACGATAGGATGTATTGGATTCCTTTCAAAGAAATAAAGAACAGCTTAGTTAGTACCTTCATAAATGTGTCTAAAGCTTCCTTAAATTGTGTCCATGTATAAAATATACTACACAACATTATCCTTTGGAATATAGCTGTTACATCACACAATAAAGATGATATATTTCTTGAAGTAGATGCAGCAGGAGTACTTTGCAACATCATTTAATCGTTTTAACAATTCCTAACGTGCACAACACTATGATTTCAAGTAAATAAACACTAGTATATATTTCAGTGCTTATATACCACTGGGCATGACCTTGTCAATTTACTTCATTTATGCTGACGTAATATGCACAATTCCCACAAATCATTGAAGTGAAAACTTAAAAAAGTAGATTAGTTACCACATACATATTTCTACATGTAATAATTCAGGACACATTAAATTTATAGAAATGGTAGTTGAATCATATTCGCCTAGTAACCAAAATGGCATACATCCTATTTTGGACTTAAAATAAATGCATCAAAATTATTGTTGATTTATATTCACTTTCTGGACAATCTCATACATCTCAATATACTTCAAACATCAACAATGCATCCAAATAGCGTGTGACTGTCACACTACACTCACACCAAAAAAATTAACACGCCATTATATTATGGTAAGGTAAGCCCGAAATTTTACTGACTGTTAATTTCCGTGTCAAAATGAAGAGATTGGCGCTTTAATTTATATTTTGAACCAATAGAAAGCCAGCTAGCCAACAGCCAATAAAAACTGCCTATATCTATTTTCTCGCTTAGATCTGCTCAAGGACGTTACCGTAGTTACGTCTGATTGTGGAGAGTTCCAGTGAAGTCAAAATCAGTGAAAAGAAGTAGCAGCGCACACGAGTCTTTGCCCTCTGCTGCAGTGTCCTTCGATGATTCCCTCTTTCTAGTTATCCTAGTCTCACTTGACCATAACTATATCACTAATGTTGATTTCGTGGAGGTGCATTAGCCAGGCTTCAGTCAGCGTTGTTATTTTTAAGTTTAGGAGGTTTCTGAGCTTGCCTACGTTTCCTCCCAGCTCTCGCACACTGCTATTCAGGCAGTTGACAATGAGTCCCACCATATCAGCGTATTGTGGGGTAGCTGATGCCACATAGGCCGCTGGTAGAATATTTAGTACTGGAAATAGTTGGTGAATACCGGTGGAACTGGATTCATCAAACACACGCCACTACATTTATTTAACTGTAAAATAAATTTCGAACACAGTAAACTGGCACAAGTGAGATTTGTCACACTATAAAAGCAGACACAAAGGCAGATAAAAGAAGTGCACCGAAACTACAATCAACAGAAATGTATGGAAAAAACAATAATTACATGACGAGTAATTAGGAATTAGTGAAATTCAGACATAAGTGAATGCATGTGCCATAGGGATGCCATCCACTTGATCACAATCAAGCATTAAAATGTAGCTCTTGTGAACAAGATGTGTGAAGTATTTACACATAAATATTCTGCAAAAGAGTACTCCATGCATATTAACTAATCCACCTTTCATAGCGCTATTTATCAAAATTACTTTTTTGGATTTTTCTGTTACATTGATACACTGTATCAATCATATGAACGTTGCATCTTAGAGATATTACGAACAAACTTTTTTAAGCAAGTAATGCTTGACATAGCATGAAGTGTGCTGTTTGCCACTTGTAATAATTAATTAAAACTAGATGGGATAGTTTCAATGGGCATAAGCATTAATTTCATTCTCCCACTGATATGAAGTATCACACATTTCGAGAAATGCATTGTACACCTAGCTCACTTTTAACCTTCTATACAAAGGAATCAGTGAAATTCCAGACAGATTATCCGAAACTCCTAGTCCGAAACACGTGAAGAAGCCAAGAATTGATTCACCAGGACTTGTCAGACATGTCACGCCTACCCTTATGAATACCCCTAGACAACAGTCCACAGAATGTGAATAAAGACTAGAGAGGCGATGGATCATTGATTTCCTACTATTTAGAATAAGTGGCAGTCATTGCGAAATTAATTACCTTTTAAAAGTGATAAGTGGAACGATAAACCATGACTGAAACGAAAAATAGACTGCGAAAGACATACCAGGCATAATTGTTTGGGTTGTTAAACATTTCTGGATATGCTCAGTAGTGACTCTTTGAACTGCAGTATGTTGACGGATATCGAGGCTGGCACATACCGTACTCTCACCATGAAGAAAAAACGAAAAACCGACACTATACTGGGTACTGAAAACCTTTAGGTACTCATAAGTGAATCTTACTAATCATCGCTGGGACCACATTTACGAGGCTGTACAAACCATTTACCCAGACGAACGAATCCTTTGGTATACAAACACCTAAGAGAATCAACATATGAAATGCAACACAAACCTTTCAACTACATTATGTAATGCCCGGAATAGGACAGTTCTCGTTTCGTACGATAAACCTTGACGCCAGTTCCCATGATCTTCGTTGCGAAGCTCGGGGAGAATACAGCTTTCGGCATTAGGGAAGTCATCATTCCCGTACCAAAACACCCAAAGCTCTTTTGCAAATTTTGAAAACGCACATGGATCTGAGGAATCTGATGCTTCAGGTTTTGAACGCACCCAGGCAGAAAGAACACCAAACTTTTGACAAAGAGCAAATGACTTTATTATGGGATCATCCAACGGGTCACTATATTCCCTTGGAGTATGGATAATGTACTTTCGGTACTGTATGCCGCTGAAATCAGTCTACGTGAAATGAATTTCAATTAGTTTACATGAAATAAGTATTTTAATTTCAATAAAAACTCACAACTTAGATACTTACCAGAGCAAAGATATTAGTGAAGCAGTGCTCTAGCGAAGCATCACTAGGACTGATCAACTGGCTCATAATGGACATATTACAAAGAACTCATTTCATCGCTACATTACTAATTTTAACCAACCACCTAAACTAAACGCAATATTCCGCCATGCGGACAGGTACCGCACAACTCCCTGAGACACTCAAACAAGTAAGAAACACAAAAAAACCATAGAATGGCTTCATTTTAGTCATCAATATGTAAAACTAATGGCGTAACGGCAGACTGTCAACCAAAACCCCAAAAGTATTACGTTATTAAGTGTCTGAATTCACTGACTTCAATATCCAATATCTATACGCGGCATATTCGTAACAAGGCTGTAAAACTCAGTATTGAGGATAAACGTTATCGTGATATATTTTCGCGCACTGTGTGGGGTATTGCGTTCACGCCTATAGAGGCGTTATAACCGCTCAGTTTTGTGAAAATAGATTATATTTGACTAGTTTTGGGCTTCTATGGCCGAAAAAAGCAATATTTTGCTGTATTGTGTTCGTAGTAATGCGTAAAATTGTCTTGACAGCCCGGACAAATTTCTACTAAAAGAAGTCATCTTTTTTAAGAAATTTCGCATAGAAAGACTTATTTGCGTTTTAGAGCCTTAAGGCATTGTTGTTTGAGAGTTGTTTTAGATCTTAAGTTTGTAAATTGACTACAGGCAAAGGTTGTTGTCACCCCAGTTATTCTATGAGAATTGGGCATTTGAAAGAGAAATGGCCGACAGACATAAGTTAGATGTATGTTTTGAGGATGTTAAACACTTCGTTATCATCCATGATGACTGAAATATTCCATTACACATCGAAGAGATCATGCGATGAATAAGATGGGTTGCTGAATTTCCTGGTGATTATATCTATTTAAATGAATTTACTAGTTAAAATTGCTTAACATAACATAACATAAGCTTTATTCCAAATCAGTACTTGTGATACAGAATGGAATTCTCAGCATTTTACTACAATATTGCATCCAGTTTTTACATTAACAATAAAGTTCTACATAGATTAAAGTTATCTCAACAACATATTAGTATGTCGGTAGCAAAGCCAAAATTAAAGTGTTTGAAGGTGTTAGAAAAGTAGATACTACTAGCATATTTACTGGCGTAAACGATAGCAAAATGGTCGAGATATACAGAGTGTGAAAGAACGAACAAGAATGATTTAAGTAGAGTTTGCAAGGAAGAGAGAAACAAAACAGCACATAACAAAAATAAATACAGAATGAAGAGCGAGAAAACGTTGTACCTATAAATGATGTGAGTTGGAAAGACAAGATCCATTGGCTCTACTGACTATTTAATAAGTTAAAGGTTTCATGCCTGATGCATTCTTTATCGCACAGAACACGAGCTAGGTAGGGTATGGATGAGTTTTTGTACTTACTAGTGCGGGCATATAGTTTCCCATATAGGCTTCTTGTTTTCCCTGAAGAGATACATGGGGAGAGTTGTGAATGTAGAGGGTGTTGTGAGTCAGATAAAATGGATTTCGCCCATTTTTCACATGAGTCCATGTGCCTGTCCACCAGAATGTTAACAAGCTGGCTAAGTGGCATACTGCTTACCCTGCTGACAACCTTTAACATCCTACGTAATAAGGTATAGTCTTTCTTCAATAGCCCTGGAAAAACTAAGGGGGAGCAATAGAGAATAATAGGCAGAATACGGGAGTTAACAAATTGTAGGAGTAAGGGTTGGGTTACACCAGAAAGTCTTAACTTCTTGATGTAGAAGGTGAGACGGAATACTTTCTTAGAAATCGTCAAGATATGAGACGACCAGGAAAGATCAGAAGATAGAGTGACGCCTAAGTATTTAATTTCCGACTTGGTTTCAATTTCAGTGCCATCTATGTTGCACACCTCGTGAGTGCTAACCAGTTTGTTTAGGTCAAATTTATGCCTAAAGGTGAAATTAACTGTTTGGCATTTGGAGGGGTTTAAGGTTAGACCGTTTTCCTTGGACCATTGGCTAATTTCTGATAAAAAGCCATTTAGTTTAGAGCAGTCACTTTGACATTTGACAGGTAAAGATACAGTTGGGTCATCAGCATATTTGACAAAGCTAATGTCATTTGAAGATGGTAGGACATGTAGGAAGAATGAAAAGAGAAGTGGGGAGAGTACAGCACCTTGGGGGACACCAGCTTCAGTGAGCACAGCAGAGGAGGATTCGCCTTTGTATACGGTGTACTGCATTCTGTTTGAAAAGTAGGAATGCAACCAGTTAGTGACCCAGGACTCGGTTTGTGTCATGGAGAGCTTATTTAGCAAGAGACTTCTAGGTACAGAGTCGAAAGCAGAATTGAAGTCAAGAAACGTGCAGCGGACATATTTGGCACCTTTATCTAATGAAGAAACAATACTGTTGTGTAAGACGGCTGCAGCGTCTAAAGTACTCCTACCCTATCTGCAGACAAATTGTTTGGGGTCTTCGAAGCTTTTAAGAGAGGGTTCGAGTGTTAGAAGTACTAGTTTTTCCATAAGCTTTAGAAACGGGGAAGTGATGGCAATGGGTCTAAACTTTACGTTCTTGCTATTGCCAGGTTTAAGGACAGGGACTATTTCAGTGTCTTTCCACAGAACAGGTACAACGTTTTCGGAGAAAGAAGCATTTAGAATATTAGTTAGAGGTGAACATAGAGCATCTGCACATTGTTTTAGGACATATGTAGGTATGCCATCAGGGCCAAGACTATGTGAGGGCTTAAGAGTTTTAAGACATTTCAAAACATCGAGAGTATTGAATATGTGATAGGCAAAGATGTGATACCAGTTTAATTTACGTTTGCACATGGAATCTCAGAAGACCGTAATCGCTCACTGCATAAAATGGCATCAGATTACTTTGATATCAGTGTGCATTGGGGCACGAAGAATAGTATATATGGTCCTTCTAAAATGTCAGACTACTTAAAATTAGTCTCAGCTTTCTGTCGAATAGCAGCCAGCATCTGTTACACAAGTTATATCAGTCCTAATAATTATTCATTTTCAGATCACTAAGATATTCTGATATTCTTAATGAATTACTTGTGCCTATTCAGGATATGGAAGATGCACTTATGGCTCATATCTTTAGGGCATTTATTACTAAACAAGTTATATGTAGAGATTTTGTGATGTTCAGGTTACAATGCTTGAATGTATTTAATGAATGCATGCTACTGTGCGTGAAGGGAAAGTTGATGAAAATGAAGATAGAATAAAGTTTCCTATAACTCGCTACGAACACTGCGAAATATTAATAAGGAACTGAATCAAACGGAAAAATTCCGAACAGCTAGAAAATATTACTGCAGTTTCGATTATTATTATTATTATCCATAACATTTGTAAGTCATCTTTCCAAAGTTCAAAATGATGCCAAAACATCTGTGCTAACCCATAGACCCTACGGAAATTCGTGTGAGATCTTACATGTCAGGTTGTCCTAAGAATTCTAAGCTTGCAGAAATTTCAATTCACCTATCACTGATATATCAATTATCTTCTTCACGATAGACTTTTCATATACCCTGTCAGCCACATCTCGTAAACCGTTAATGCCCAGCTCTTGCTACGCTCGCGCTCACGCTGTTCCTTGAAGTTTTCAGAAACGCTTAGTAATAACGGACGAAAAAACCAAAACATTAATTGTTGACTCGAGGATTCTTTATTGTTACACCAACATATAAAAAATATTTCTACTAAGGTCTGTGAACAAATATTACAATAATAAATCACAACATTACTTCTGACGGTTTATTGCTGACTTCTTTCTGAACAGCGACCGATGAGACGATGACTGTCGTATTGATGCCTCCGCGAAAATTGGGGAAGTTGGTTTTGAGCAAACAGCAATGAATAGATAGTTCAATCTTTGACTACATTGACATACCCACTTGTCAAGGAAATTATCCCTAAGTTCCCACTTTTACGAAGACGCTACGCACCGATAAATACTATGTACTTTATTCGACTTTAAATCCAAAACACCAGCATCGTAAGAAGGAAGTTATATTGTTTGGCAATTAAAGTAGAGAACAGTAAAAGTCTATAAACTAATGTTTCATACGAAATTATTATGCAGTTTTATTAGTTTTCGTTCGTCTTCGTCGAACTTCTAAATGATTGAACCATTCGCGCCTTCGAGTTGCCTAAAAATGGCTACCAGTTCCAAAAGCAAGCGTCCAATGTTCACGTCCACTGACACTCACTGGCAGAAAAAGGGTCCATCCCTTTTTTCCATAGCGATGATAACCCCGAACTAGACCGCCAATGCGGGAACCTGGGCCAACCGGGACTAGGCAAAAACGGGAAAGCAAGACAAAAAAGCACAACACAA